GCAATAACGGTCAACTCTGCCATTGTAGCATGAATGCAACCACAGACAATATGCAAATAAATGAATGTGGCTGGGTGCCAATAAAACTTTATTGACCCAAGTGGACAGCAAGTGGGAGTTGACCCTGAGTTCACCATTTGCAGAACTCTGCTCTCTCTTTTTTTTAATGTTAGAAAACTGCTTTATTGGAATTGTGTATTATGAAAAATTTCAAATGTACAGAAAAGTGGAGAAATATATAATAAGCATTTGTATACTCATTACTTAGGTTTAACAATTGTTAATTTGCCAACCTTAGTTTTCTGAAATAGTTTAAATATTTAAAATGAAATTATATATACATGTCCTGACATTTTGCCAGTTTAATATGCATCTTTACAAAATAGGGATTCTTTTTACATAACCCCAATACCATTAATTTACCTAATGATTAATAATTTCCTAATATTATCTAATATCAATTCACACTCAAATTTCACTATTTTCTTCCAAATGTCTCTCAAAGTACCTCTGGTCAAACCAGGATCTGATGAAGACCATGTATCACGCTAAGACCTCTGCCCTTACTCTTAAGTCAAGGAGCACTTGGATTATTACTTTCTCTGTGGGACTCAGAGGGTAGGGGCTCTATCTTGGTCACTTCTGCATCCTTTTGGACTCAGCAGGTGCTCAGTTAATATTTCCTGAATTGATGGTCTCCACCCCCTCGCCCCAATGGAGAACAAAGCCAATAGTGTGTGTGTCTCCCAGAAGTTGATAAAAAAGGCATCTTGTAAGAGTTGCTGGGAGACAGGCTGCAGTACAGAAAAAAGGCTGATAGGACTTCACCCTCTTCTCTCTCCTTTTATTCCCTATCCATGTCACTCTAGAAAGATCTCTGGGCCGAAGGAGCAAATGTGAGCAAACCTCCTGGGGTTGAGAGGCAGATCTGAGAAAAGGAAGGCTCTAATTTGGCTCCACCATCATTTTGGGTTTTCTGTGATCAATAACTAAGCAGTGCTGGTGAGGGAAGATTGTAGTATCTCCCAAAGCTTTGTTTTCTTTGCTTTTCTTTTTTCTTTCTTTTTTTTTTGTAAATATATTTTCATTGATTTCAGAGAGGAAGGGAAAGGGAAAGAGAGAAATATCAATGATGAGAGAGGATAATTGATCGGCTGCCTCCTGCACACTCCCTACTGGAGATCGAGCCCACAACCTGGGTATGTGCCCTTGACCGGAATTGAAGCCGGGACACTTCAGTCCTCAGGCTGATGCTCTATCCACTGAGCTAAACCAGCTAGGGCAAAGCCTCTTTTCTTTCTCTCCATTCCTAACTATTTGTGCTCTTCAAGCCCTTCACGTTGGAGAGCCTCAGATCAGAGCCCATGTCTCTCCCTCCCCACCTGGGCACCTTTGCTGCATTAGGCTGCTTGAATCAAATGCAGGGGTCCTCAAACTTTTTAAACAGGGGGACAGTTCACTGTCCCTCAGACCATTGGAGGGTCGGACTATAGTTTAAAAAAAAAACACTATGAACAAATTCCTATGCACACTGCACATCTTATTTTGAAGTAAAAAAACCAAAACAGGAACAAATACAGTATTTGTATTTGCATGTGGCCTGCGGGCCGTAGTTTGAGGACCCCTGATCAAATGGGTAACCTGCAGTGCACTGGCCTCAGAGGTCAGGACCCAGGGTCTAGCCAGGGATCTGCTAACTGCCTGAATGTCCTTGGCTGTGGCTTCTCTCTGGAGCTCCCCCAGCTGGTCAATGTGGGTGTTGGTAGCTTTCCCCTCTAAATACCCTTCCAGTCTGGTTACACTTACTGGGCACCTTTCCAGGAGCAGGCATTGAACATGAATCCAGGGACAGAGAAATAAATCAAAAGCCCCTGGCCCTTGACAAGTGGACATAGGAGAACTGGGCAGCTAAACTGATGATTACCTTATAACTGAGGAAGTGCTTTGATGGCGACCAGGCTTTGTAGGAAGCCAAAAGAGAGAGACCCTTTTGAGAGGCCCTTTTGAGAGAAAGCTGGGAGGATGAAATGCTGTTGGAGATAAGGTTTAGAATGAAGAGGAGGCTGTGGGCCTAGCAGGACCACAGGAGAAGCTTATAAGCTAGCTTTCTGGGATTGGATAGAGGGAGGGAAGGCAAGGGAAGTCACATCAAGAGGTATTTCAGTTTAGCAGAAGGGAGAAATTTCCACCAGCAAGGGCTATTACACACCAAGGAGAGAGGAAGCTTTGAGCTACTTATCAGTGCATAGAAATGCATACCAGAGCTTGGAGTGCTGTGGCCAGAGGCCTCAACCATTCCTGTCCTGTCTGCTGAGCCATCCTCCGCCTTGGTTCCAGTCCTTCCCTAGAGTCACAGACTCTACAGATGGAACAGCTGGCCACAAGCACTTCTGGTCTAGGAACACATGCAGATGGCAGTGCTGATAAGCCCTGGAGGCCCATTCTGTCCCTCAGTTTCTCTCTCTTGGACCCTCTCTACAAAGTGGGCTTCTCCACAGCTACTGGCCCCCACTCCACTGGCTCAAATGTTGATTGGGCCACATGTCTGAAAAGCAGATGACAGCTATGTGCCTTTCTTTTCCTGCCAAAAGAAACACACTCACAGGTGACTCAAGGGCTGCATCCAATTTATGTGGTTCACAGACCTCCCAAACCACACATGAATGCCGGGCCCAGAACCTCTGCTCCAACCAGTCCCACTGGCTGCTCCATTCCCCAGGCCTTGCATTGTTTCCTTCTGTTGCTGTGGTTACTCTAGGATTCCAGGCCAGTAGGTGGTTGCACGTGTTTCCTAAATGCCCATTCTGTGCTGTGGGGACATTGGTTGGCTCTGCCATAAGAGCTCCTGGGCTGGTGGGGGTGGGAGAAAGTACACAGAGGGAATACACTAAATGAGGCAAACCAGGACAACCTGAGTAAAGGGATGTATGACAGGGTATGAGCAGTTTGGGTGGAGCACAGCAGGTGTGAAGCCCAATAGAAGAGGCTGGAAAGGTGTGCTGAGCACAGGCCATGATGGATTGGCTGTGGAATGTGTTCAGGAGAAAATCAGGAACCTTTTCAGTAGAAGAGAGGGAGGGTCTAGGTCTGTTTTAGGAAGGACTCCTGGATGTGCATAGAGGCTGGATCAGAGGAGACAGACAGATCAGCTGGGCTGTCCCAGTACACCTGACCCAGGTGCGGACAGAGCCAGGTGCTAAATGAACTAGGTCGACTGTCAATGAGGTGGAGAGATGACTGAAATGAGAGATCTCCCCAATGAATGCGCAGAACTGGGCATGGACTTTCTTTCAGCTGTCTCCTTTCCCTTGGCCCTGATTTTACAGATGGATGTGCCACAGGAGGGGCACAGGCCCTTGTAGGTTCTCCAGGAAGTCATTTTAGGGAGGTGTGCTTCAAGGCTATTGTCCTTCAGCAAAGGAACAGGTCGGGTGGCCCAGGGACTTGGGCCTGTGAGGGGGCAAGTTCAGTCTTGCAGTGGCTGAGGCAAGGTTCTAGTTAGACTCAATGACCTGGTGGGAGGCCACTTCAGTGGTTCAGACTATTGGCAGGGCTTGGGAACAATGTGCCAGGCCCACCCCCAGAGTGTCGGTTCAGTAGGTATGGGGTGGGGCGCCACAGTTTCTAACAAGCTCTCAGGGGGAGGGACTGGAGGCTGTGGTTTCCTGGCAGTCAGACTTTCTACACACAGGTTGGGGGGCAGATTACTTGGGTCTGGGTCAGGGCTGCAGGGCAGAGCAAGGAAGGGCAGCAAAAGCCCTCACCAGGTGGGGAGGGCAGCCCTTTGCCCACTTGGGGCTCAGGGTCTGTCTGGAGGGCTCTCTCAGCCACTTAATGATCTGTCTCACCTTTCTGATCTGCATGGACAATGCTTCCTTCGGAAACCTTTGATGGCAGTTCTGCCCCATTTCCAACCTGGCCATGTTCACTTTCAGTCACTCCCACACCTTTCCTTCTTGGAACTTTCAAGTTTCCAATTATGTATTGATTTGTACGAGGCCACTAGAATGTCAGCTGTGGGCTGTGTCTATTTATTCACTCACCACTGAAGCCCAGACAGCGCCCAACAAACATGTGGAAACATGTACAGTTCAAGTTTGACGAGGGACATCTTTGGTCAAGGCGGCTGCTAGCATTTCCCCAGGGAAGCGGAGAGGACAAAGCTGAGGACACTTTGGCCCTAGATGCTTCTTGGTGAGGCCTGCCAGCCTCAGTCTTCCAAGCAGAGACCCTCCTCCCGGCAGCTCTGAAAGCGGAGTCCTCCCATTCCATGCCTCAGTCTCCTCACTCCCTCTCATCTCCCCGAGGAAATCAGGTAGGGAGCTCTGATTCTTTTCTAGTTGCTTCCATGAAGGCTTCATTTCTATTTCCAGGGCTGCATCACTTCCTAATCTGACCTCCCAGGCTCCATGCAGAGTGGCTAAAATGAATTTCTTGATTTTAGCCCGCCATGGTTAAACTGGCAATGGTTTCCCCTGCCTACAGGGTAAATAAAGTTCAGTCCCCTTGGCTTTGCATCTGAGGCCCTACCTACCTCTCCAGCCTGACTGACCGACCTCCCACTGCTCCACACCTCCCACCCCAATCCAGGCTGGTCACTTCTGTACTTCACTAAATCTGAGGAAGACCACACACTACTAATGAAACTATGACAAGCCAATGACTGTGAACCTGACCTTTAAGCCTGAAATGCCACCTACTGGCCTCTACCTACTGACTCTTATCCATCCTTCAAGGTCCAACTCAATACTGTTCCCTCCTTCACAAAGGTGTTTTGGATGGTCTTGGCTAGAAGCCATGTCTCCTTCCTCTGAATTTACACCACCTTGTCTCCAGTGTATCATTTCCTGCCGGGTATTACACAGGATTGTATCTTAACTCCCCTATTTTTAAAGTGCCTTTGGGTAAAGACTGTCTTATTTCTGTTTATACTCCCCCTACTCTTTCGGCTTAGCAGTTTCTCCACAGGTGGGTGTCATGCTCATATTACACAAACCAAATGGCACGTGCAATGTCTTTATTCCAGCCTCCCCAACTTTGGACAAAAGGAGAAAAGAAAATAGGTCTTGAAGATTACATGTCAATTAGTCTTAGAAGAAACCAGGTTCTGTAAGCAGAACATCACCAGGAAAGAGAGAACGCTGAGTCATTATGTGTGCTAGGCCTTCTGGAAATTGGCCGGAAGGGTTCTGCGTGAGGGGTTCTATGAGTGAAGTGCCCTTTCTGCCCAAACTCCAAGCAGATAAAGGAGACTCTTTTCTGTCTGACCTTTCCCATACCACACTATCAAGCAGTCTGATGTCAGGAGATTCGCTAAACAGCTGAAAGAGCATGCCACGGGTCAGGCCACTGCTGTGTCACTAAGGACAACAGGAATCTGTTGATAAAGTGAAATGTGACCATGACAGAATGTTTTATGAAGAAAAAAACAAAACAATGCAGACAGGCACTGCAACTGGGCCTTGGAGAACTTGGAAGCATGTAAGGAGGGAAACCATGAGGGATGGAGGGGGAGGGTTACAGTTGCTTAAGCTTTTTGGAAGTGTTTGCTTGCTCTAAACTCTATTTAAAATGTACACTTGCAGTCTCACCATGTGTTTCTGTTTCTCCTCTAGGATGTTTGTAATATGTGGCTCCTTGAACAGTCTGTGGCTTCTACTCTTGTATTGGTTTGCATGGAAATGAATCTAGTTCTCCATCCTCAATTAGCAAAGGGATCGGTTCTTTGCTACAGCTTCCTTGATTATGTACAAGGACAGTGGGATGATAAGGACCCCAGGATAGAGGGGGGGATGGGAGAGAGAACACAAAACAGAAGAATACAAAGCTGAATACAAAGCTAAAAGTCCAAGTCTGATCCCGTGCTTCCACTAAGGCTTTACTTGTGGTCATGGAAAGGCCGGGTGTGCTCCTATCTAACTGGCAGGAGGTACCTGAGCTCAGAAGAAAGTCACTTGAAGGAGGTTAGTTTCTTGATCCACGAGGAGAGGTATTGGAGGCGGAATGTGGTGAGAGGGCCCAGTCTCGGAGCCTCACTTGACCCTCCGCAGGTGGTGGAAGCTCTGCACAGTTCTTTCCACAGCGTCATCCATGGTGACCAGTGGCTGGTAGCCCAAGGCCTTTTTGGCTCTCTCACAGCTGTAGTAGTGGAATGTGCCAGCCAGCGCGACCCGCATCGGAGTGAATGTGGGCTGGAGCTGGATGACAGGACTGATCACCATCACCAGGAGGGATAGCAGGAGGGCCAGGTAGTAGGCCACCCAGTAGGGAATGTGGTACTTGGGGGCTTCGTAATTGAGGCCTATCAGGATGCGGGACAGGAATGTCCAGAAGGGGATGGGTTCGTCATTGGTGATGTGGAATGCCTGAAGACAGAACAAGAAGTTAGAGACTGCTCCGCAGCTGGAGGGGTGAGCGGGCCATGCTCAGAGCTCAGCCATAGCTGTTGGCTTAGCCTAGGACCAGTGGCCACTCCTTGTTCGCCTGCTCACCCCAGCTCCTTTGCAGGGCAGCTCAAAAGTGAGGTGAATATTAAGTGCATGCAGATTGCAGCATTTCCCTGGTCCTCTAATCCACAAGTGTCAGCCGCTGGCAGACAACCTTTGGATTCGCAGCTATGGGCCCCTTTAGGAGCAGAGGGAAGGCAGTGAAAATTTCCTCTGTAAGTCAGGTTTTTCAGTGAAGTTTAGATTGCATTCGGGAAGGCACGTTTGTTAATTTCATTTGGTAACTGTGTTAAGCATGGTGACACTCATCTTCTTATCTTCAGGCACAACAAATGGGTCATATTAAGTTTCTCAAATGTGCTGTGTTTGGTCTAAACCAAGCATGCCAAACTCACGGCCCGCGGGCCACATGCGGCCCACAACGAATATTTTTGCAGCCTAGCCAATGTAACGGTATGTAAGAAACGTTTTAATAAAAATTTCACCTTAATTTTTACAATATCCTTTATACATAATTATTAATAACGAACTACAATGTTCACTAATGACTGATTACTATAATCGTGTTGCATTCATTTCCCTTAGGTGCCTTACACGCAGGCGCACCATTTCTCTCCACTAATACTAGCAGTGAATATTTTAGCAGCAGGTTGCCAAGTTAGTCTTGTACTGACTTGTTTGGTGTGTGCAACAGGAAGTATTTCGCTTTAGGGGAACAAGAAAAATAGGTTTATTTGTGTTATGCTTATTAACGTGTGCAGTTATTCAGTGTCTGGTAAGTTAATGCTCAAGAAAAATATTACTTTTTATTAAAGTATTCTATTATTTTATGTGAATGATTGCTCATTTATTTTAGCCCTTTGTATTCAGCATGTCTCTACAGAAATAAACCAACGTTTCAATGAAAATTAAAGCTTTTGTTTTTTTGCGGCCCACATAAACTTAAATCTTGTTTATTTGGCCCGTGTTAGCTTTTGAGTTTGACTTGCTTGGTCTAAACCAAAAGCCACCCTAAGAGTTATATGAGTGGGAAAATGGAACAAGTCCAAGAGAAACAAATGAAGCCCAAATAGGAGGGATACCAAGGCAGGAATGAGAGGAAAGGATGAGGGGTCAAATGTGCTCTCCCATCTCCGGGTGAGTTCACCTCCCCCACATGCCCAGCCTGCCCACTGGATGCCAGACACCAGGAGATTCAGATACATCTGCACCTCAGGTCGGGTGAGAGGCATGAGCATGGCTGGACGATGAGAGGAAAATGGAGACACTTGGAATGAGTGGGAGGAAGGGTGAATAGCACACACTCTGGCCAATGTTCACGGGACCCTGCCTGGAGTAGCCACGTCCATGGTAGGTAGTCAGGTTACGTTCATGGAGAACCAGGCCCTAAAATCAGAGTACCAGGTCCTGAATCTCTCAACCACAGTCCACACCTCTGGACTTGGGCTGCCCTGTGCGATATGGTACTGTCATGACGCCATACACCTGACCATAGGGGCTTAATCTCAAGACCACGGGATCCTAAAGCAGGTCTACCAGGATACAGAATCACGGAGGGAACGTGCCAGTGCATCCAATCACACAGAGAAGAAATCTGAAGATGGGAAAACGTTCAGGGGGAGCATGTGGTGGGCCAGCCATTTCCGAGTTGAGAGAAGCAGGTGCCTTACCTTCCCACCCAAGGCCGTGTCTTGGGAGAGGTGCTCTGCAGCCAGAATGTGTCCGTGAACCACATTCTCCACGAAGGTGAAGTCCACCAAGTTCTCCCCGTTCCTGTGGGCATACAGATGTGGTTACACTGGGCTGGGAGCACTCAGCTGCACGCTGAGACACTGCACAGGGACCTGGGGTTGCTTCCAAGTCCCAGCACTTTATTTTATTTTATTTTAATGAATCCTTACCCCAGGGTATTTTCCCGTTGATTTTTAAAGAGTAGAAGGGAGGGGGAGAGACACAGAGAGAGAAACACGGATGTATGAGAGACATATTGATTGGTTGTCTCCTGACCAGGGCCGGGGATCGAGCCTGCAATCAAGGTACATGCCCTTGACCAGAATCAAATTCGGGACCTATCAGTCCACGAGCCAACACTCTTCCACTGAGCCAAACCGGCTAGTCTCAGCATTTTAAAAGACTGCTACCTGCCTTGGCAATGCCAGTCCCTGACACCTTGACATCTGTAACAGTTAAAGATGTGCAAGGGGCCAGGGCTCCTGGGGCCCTCAGGGATACTTAAGGGCCAACTAATGTATCAGAAAGCCTGGTGCCCTGCCTGCCCCATCCCAGCGTGGCCAACATCGGTGTTGTCTGCTCTCAGCTCCACTTTGGGCAGCAGCCCTTCACTCCTTCTGGGACACTCTGGGTTAATGCCTTGCTCTGGCCTCATGTGTTTCTACCATCTCTGTGTAATCCCTCAAAGCAATAGGACAGGGCAGCCAAGTGAAAGACAGGGAGGCAAGGTAGCAAGAAAAAGACAGGAAGAAAAGGGGAAAAAGGAAGGAAGGAAGGAAAAGTAAATGTATTGGGGAAGACAGCCAGCCACACTGCCACCACCTGCTAGGCCCCGCCACCAGCACCTTGCTCAGAAAGGTATGTTAAAGCCTCCTCCTATCTTCATGGATGCAAAAAAAGCTGAGGGCCTGCTTGGCCCCTGACCGTGGGTCAGGCTTTCCCCTCTGAGCCTGTTCCCTCAATTTCCAAACAGGGACACCAATATTTTCCCAGCCTGTCAGAGAGAGTGCATCAGGTTGAATAGTGTCCTCCCCAAATTCATGCCCACTTGGAACTTGTAGATGCGTCCTTATTTGGAAATAGGGTTTTGGCAGATGTAATCAAGGTTAGGTGAGGTCATACTGGAGTAGAATGGGCTCTAAATCCAATGGCTGCTGTTCTTTTTTAAAAATATATATATTTTATTGATCTTTTACAGAGAGGAAGGGAGAGGGATAGAAAGTTAGAAACATCCACGAGAGAGAAACATTGATCAGCTTCCTCCTGCACAACCCCTACTGGGTATGTGCCTGCAACCAAGGTACATGCCCTTGACTGGAATCGAACCTGGGACCCTTCAGTCTGCAGGCCAACGCTCTATCCACTGAGCCAAACCAGTCAGGGCGTGGCTGCTGGTCTTACAACCCAAGGGAAATCTGGACAAAGACACACAGAAAAAGAAGATCATGCAAAGACGGAGTCAGAGACTGCAGTGATGCATCTATCTAAGCCAAGAAATTCCAAGGACTGCCAGCCACCACCACCAGCTGGGAGAGAGGCCTGGATGAGACTGTCCCTCAGAATCTTCTGAAGGAACCAATCCTGCCCATGGCTGGATTTCAGACTTCTGGTCTCCAGAACTGGGAGAGGATTCCTTTCTGTTGCTGTAAGCCACCCGCCCGCCCCCTCCGCACGCCCCTCACCCCCTGCCCCCGGTCTGGGTCATTTGCTATGGGAGTCTCAGCAAATGAACGTAGAGGGCAGTAGAGAAGGCCACATAAGAAGAGAACTGGCCCTAGCCAGTCTGGCTCAGTGGATAGAGCATCCGGCCTATGGACTTAAGGGTCCTGGGTTCGATCCTGGTCAAGGGAATGTACCTCAGTTGTAGGCTCAATCCCCAGCCCTGGTCTGGGCATGTGCGGGAGGCAACCAATCGATGTGTCTCTCTCACATCGATGTTTCTCTCTCTGTGTCTCTCCCTCTCTCTTTCACTCTCTCTAAAAATCAATGGAAAAATATCCTTTGGTGAGGAATAACAAAAAAAAAAAACAACAAAAAAAGAAGAGAGCTGAATGTAACTGATCTTTGTTACATGGGTTCAGGGGATCTTGCAGAAAAGCAACATTGGCCGACTTACCCAATCATGAACTTCATCTTGCCTTTTCTGGCTGCCTCAATGAGGATGGGGACCAGCTGGGGGTCCCTCGGGCCGAAAATGCCATGGGGGCGGATGGCTGTGGTTAAGAAATTCCTCTCAGGATCATTGGCACCCAGGACTTCCTGAAGGAGAGCAGAAGGAGCAGTGGATATACCGTACTGGCTAAGCAGCACCTCCCACAGGGGACAAGGGTACTGTGTACTGCCCACTGCCCGCGGCTGAAGACCTGCATCAATGAGTGGTATAATTCTGGCTACTTCTCTACCCCTCCACCCCCACCATCCAAAGTGGAAAATGCAAGAGACAGCAGGGTCAAAACCAGTGAGATCAAACAGAAAGGCCTGGGTTTGGGTTCAAGACTAAAATGCACAAATGCATTTAGGGGAAGATGAGCCTTGGCAGCCTTTTGTGGGAAAGATCCGGGGGTTCCGGTGAGCCAGTCAACCCTGAGCCTCCCACGAGGCTGCTGCCACCTAAGGGGCTCTGGCTTTAATCTCTATGTGCTGACAGCACGTTTCTGCCAGTCGTGGGCTGCCCTGGCTAGTGCTGAGCACCACCTCCCAGTAAGGGGCTCTGATGAATCCACGTGGGTCACGAAGAAGGGCCTGAGAAGGTGAAGGGTATGGGAGAAACAGGGCAGCCAGTACAGGTCAAGTCCTCAGAGCAGTGCCTAGTACCTAGTAAGCACTCAAGAGGAGACAGCCACTATTCCTGTCATCCACTGTCAGCAGGAGAGGAAAGCTACATTCTGTGTGGCTTAACGGACAAACTAGAACTTAAGGGAATAAGTACAGAGAAACAGGTTTCGCCTCAAAAGTTACACAACTTCCTGAAGGATTTGTTATGTTATTGGTAAAAATAGGGAACGTGCCAGTGCCTACCCTGACAGGGCTGCGTGCTAATGAAATGGGATGCCCTGCCAATTGTTTCTGTAAGTATGCTTGGTAAGTATCGTTATCACCTCACCGAGGATCTCTACTCTGCAGTGGCAAAATTTTTGTATATATGTGGGTGCCAGAGAGTTGACGTGACTTATTGAGTTTAGAACCATTGTAGCTGCCCAACAGTGAAGAATTGGCCTCGCATCAGATTCCCAGAGCTGTCTCTCCTCTTCCCGCCAGGCCCCTAGTCCCCATGGCAATGGGGGAAATGACTAAATAAGCCTTCCAATGCCCTCTACCAAGGCTCATCTCTGTTACTAAAAAGAAGAGAGGTGAAGGGGTCCTAAATCAACACCACATTCATTTTCTATGTTGGGAGGTCTGAACACCGACAATGAGTTACTGTGCGCCAACAACGGCTGACAGGACGCTTTAGGGCAGTGATAGCGAACCTATGACATGCGTGTCAGAGGTGACATGCGAACTCTTTTGGTTGATTTTTGTTAAATGGCATTTAAATATATAAAATAAATATCAAAAACATAAGTCTTTGTTTTACTATGGTTGCAAATATAAAAAAATTTCTACATGTGACATGGCACCAGAGTTAAATTAGGGTTTTTCAAAATGCTGACACGCTGAGCTCAAAAGGTTCACCATCACTGCTTTAGGGGGTTACTTCTGGGCGTTTTCAGGCTTTGCTTTTTCCCAATAAGCACCAAAAGTCAGTGCAAGTGACACACCAAAGGTCTGGGCCATAGCTGCGGCTTGCAGCTCCTGAGCACAAAGGGTGGGAGTCCCAGGCACCTTGGGTGAGTGCACAGGGCCCATTGGATGCTTCAGTGCTCTCTCGGTCAAGTCCAAGAAGGTGGGAGTTCTTTGAGGCTCTCTATGCTTAAGGGGCAGGGACAGGACTCCAGCTTGCAAAAGGCTAGGCCTCTACTCCCTGGAGAGGGGAGGACCTTGTGTCTCTCTGAAGATGAGTTCTCCTGGGACTTTCTGAGCTGGAGTAATAGCAAACAGGCAGCAGGCCCTCAGGTAGTGTGGGGGCACTCATACCAATTGGACAATAAACTCTGGTTTAGTGGCGGTGGTGTGCTACAAACTCCTGGGAGAGGTAAACCCCCAGCACCCCAGCTAAGGCAAGCTGTCTGTGGCTGATGAGCATTCGTGGCCTTCAGCCGAGGCTGTCCTCACGGCAGTGCCCTCCCTGGACATTAACCCTGGAACTAGCTGCTGTCAGGGTCCCCGGAGCTTGGGAGTCTGAAGGCTTGGTGCTTGTTACTCAACTCAGACTTCTGCTAAATCTGGGTTCTCACAGAAACCAGGCTGTCAAGTAGAAAAGTACTTTTCCTTAAAATAAAGCAAGATCCTTCTGCTGTTTAATTTCACAAAGTGAGGGGAACAAGAGTGCCACCAGGAAGGTGTTTCAAATGCAAACACACTCCTTGTGTGTGAAGCCCAAGTTCTGCCTGCATACTTTGGATCGCCATAAATTGCCTACTTTCTGATTTCTATAGCAACTGAGTAACCAACCCTTCATAGTGTGAGCTGGAGTGCAGGCTCTGGAGCTAAACTGCCTTGGTTCCACCACCTACCAGCTGCATGGCCTCGGGGACCTTCTGAATCTCTGGGCATCAACTGTCCTCACCTGTAATCTGGTGAAGATAATAGTACCTACCTTAGGGCGTCTTCATGACGTTGAAATGAGGCAGTTCCTGTAAAAGACTCAGAACAGTGTCTGGCCACCTTAAGCTATTTTGTTATGATTTTTTAAACTGAATTTCATCCACAAATTTTACTTCCCAAGTTAGGCACTTAGGCCTCAGAATACTAACTTCACATGTTCACAGATATTTCTCTTAGGAATCTAAGCCCTTCAGATGTTCCTGGCACTTGCTCGTCACTCACTCAACCAGCTCTCAGGTACGTACTCTCTCCTGCAAGATCTTTGTCTCCGTGTAGTAGTCAATGGGTTTCATGGCATAAGGGAAGTCCTCAGTTCCATTCTTGATGTCAACGCCCTCAAAAATGACACTAGCACTGCTGGTTAAAATGAGTTTCTGGCAGAGGAGAAAGGAAGATGAAAAAAAAAAATACAGTCAGGAACGATCCCTAATTAAACACACCAATGGTCGTGAATGAAAGAGGATCAAATGGTACCTGTTCATGACCCTTGTATGCAAGGCACTATACAAATTATTGACTGTAGTGCCTTCACTTTTCAGGCTTTCTTAAAATAATCCAAAGATCACCGTCTTTTGCAGCTACGAGGATCCCAGGCACATTATGACATTACATTCTAATATAGTAGATTTCACATTTTTTCTCTCCTATCACAACTGAGGGATAGAATAGACTTCCATTATTCATGGTATCTCACTGTGGGAATGATTCTCCATGGCGGAAGGATAGCCCACAAACTCTGAGGGAGATCTGTCTGAAGAAGACCGCTGCTGATTCTGACATAAACCTTGGCATGTCAGCACATGCAGGCACACACCCATGCCCACTTGAGAAATACTATTCAAAAGGAAGATGCTCTCTTATGAGGATCTCCAGCTCCCAGCCCATCTGGTTAAAGGAATCTCATCCAACACTGAATATCATTAGCTTGTATCATATCTTTTTTTTTTTTTAGAGTATCTTGATATATATATGTGTGTGTGTGTGTGTGTGTGTGTATGTGTGTGTGTGTATTAATTTCAGAGAGAGAGAGAGAGGGGGAGAGATAGAAATATCAATTTTGAGAGAGAATCACTGAACTGCTGACTCCGGCATGCCCCCTATTGAGGATCGAGCCCGCAACCCAGGCATGTGCCCTGACTGCTAATGGAATGTGACCTTCTGGTTCATAGGTTGATGCTCAACCACTGCGTCACAATGGCCAGGCTTGAATAATATCTTAACCACCTTTGTTCAACACTGTCCTGGAGTCCTAGGATAAGACAAACAACAAAGTATAATAATTTGAAAAGAAGAAACAAAACTATCACCATTCACAGATATGGGAAATGTGGACACAGAAAACACGATGAATAGACAGAGAATATTGAAGTTAAGGGTTCAGCAAAATTGCTGAGTACAAAATCAATACACAAAAATCAACTGTGTTCCTATACACTAGCAATTGAAAATGTGATGTAAAAGATATTTCAATAACCATAATGAGTCACATAGGGATAAATTTGACAAAAGATGTAAAAAACCACTATGAAGTATAAAACTCTACTGAAAGGCATTAAAGAGAGAGATAAAGGGAGATCACATGTATTTATGAATAGGAAGACTCAATATTGAAAGCATGTCAATTCTCTCCCAAATGACCTTAAAGTTTGATGCAATTACAATAACAATTCCAGTAGGCTTTATCAACTCAACAAGCTGATCCTAAAAAGTGTATGGATTAACCCTGGCCAGTATGGCTCAGTTGGTTGGAGCATCGTCCCGTATACCGAAAGGGGGCGGGTTTGATTCCCAATCAGGGCACATACCCAGTTTGTGGGTTTGATCCTCGGTTGGGGCATGTATGGGAGGTAACTGATGGAAGTTTCTCTCTCACATCAATGTTTTTTTTCTCTCTTTCTCCCTTCCTCTCTAAAATCAATTTTAAAAACATTAAAAAAAAACATATGGACGAGGAAAGGGCTAAGATTAACCAAGCAAATTCTGAAGAACGTGGTTGGGGGTGACTTGTCCTACCACACACTGAGATTCATCCTTAGACTCACTGAATTAAGGCAGAGCACAGTGGCCTGAGCACAGACAGAGGCCAACGGAGTGGAAGAGAGAGCCAGGGACAGACCCATGCACAGAAATGTGTGACAGCACTCACTCCAGCCTTCCCCTTACCTGAACCCCAGCCTTTTTGCAAGTTTCAATGACGTTCCTGGTGCCAATGTAATTCACTCTATAAAAGAGTTCCTTGTTGTTACTGGATGGTGGGGGTGATGCGCAGTGGAAAACTGTGCTTACACCTTTCAGAGCTGGGTACAAGTCCTGGAAAAGCAAACAAAGACAAAACAAATCACTCCCGCCTTACACAAGTAAACAGCCTCCTCACATTCCCACTCTCCAATCTGTGGAGCATAGGTGTCTTGCCCTTTTAGAATTCTACAATTAACAAAGAAATGCATTCTCATTGTAAAAGATTCAAACAGTGCAGCAGTACATGCGAAAGAAACAATGCTGTCCCTTTAATCGCCCCCTCCCCATTAACTGGTCCCTAAAGAAGCCGGAGGGACTCGGCCAGAGGCAACATCTTTGCCATGGGGTAAGGGCATGATTCAGGACACCTGAGGGTAAAACTTCTGGGGAAGATGAGCTTATAGACACAAATTATAAATCATATGAAAAAGTCCCACAACATGACAGTGTAAATGGCCAATATACAGGAGTATTCTTTTCTGTGAAACTAGACATAAAACAACAACCTTAACACATTAAGCACCTAGCCTGTTTTGTCTTCCGGATGGAAAGTATAGTGTTAAAGGGGTTGAAAACAGGTATGTTTAATTTACTGCTAAGAGGAACCAGAGCTCCCCAGAGCAATGCCTGATTGCAGATCTAGGGCAGGAAATAGATGAGATAAGCCAGCAACACCTTGCCATACTGGAAAGCGAGAAAGCTCGCCAAGACTCCTGGGGTCCTGCTAAAAGGACTAAGAGCCAATTTATAAAGGCTCCCACTGGCCAAAGAAGGGACAATTTGATCACCAGTAAAATACGAATTCCTTCTGCAAACTGGTAAATAAAGGGAAGGAGTCACACATTTAATCTGCATAAGTTACAAAGATCTGAGGTAAGAAACAAAGTAAGAATGATAGCATGTCACCATTTGGCAAAGCCTTAAATAAGTAATAAGATCTAAGAATGACCATCAATAGATGCTAACATTACCAAGACAAAGACGCCCATGATTTATGTGCCTAGATTCACTGATTATTAATATTGTGTCGCAATGCCCTCTATGTAGATACATATAGACATATGATTTTTTTTTCTGAAACCATTAGAGAGTAAGTTGCAGACATCAGATTACTTTGCCTCTAAACTCTTCACCTAGCATCTCCTAAGAACAAAGCCATTTTCCTAAATAACCAGAAAACAATGATCACATGCAGAAATGTAACAGATAGGACACTCTTGTCCAATAATTAGTCTATATCTAAATTTCCCCAATGGTCCCAATAATGTCCTTTATAGCCATTTTCATATTTGGATCTAGGATCCAATCATAGATTGATCACACATTGTATTTAGTCCTCGTACCTCTTCTAGGTCTTTGAATATGGAACAATCTCCCTATCTTATTATTTTTTTGTCTTTTGGAACACTGTCACTTTTCAAGCCAGTTATTTCAGAGTGTCCCTCAATTTGGATTAGTCTGTTTCCTCATGATTAGATTCAGGCCTAATACTTTTGGCATGTTGGCTTTGATCACTTGGTTAAGGTGATGGCTGTCAGATTCTGGCCATCAAAAAGGTCCCTCTTTCTTTGTGTAATTAACAAGTAATCTGTGGGCACTGGCTGGCGTGCCTCAGTGGTTAGAGCAGGGGGTCCTCAAACTACGGCCCGCGGGCCACATGCAAATACAAATATTGTATTTGTTCCCGTTTTGTTTTTTTACTTCAAAATAAGATATGTGCAGTGTGCATAGGAATTTGTTCATAGTTTTTTTTTAAACTATAGTCCGGCCCTCCAATGGTCTGAGGGACAGTGAACTGGCACCCTGTTTAAGAAGTTTGAGGACCCCTGGGTTAGAGCGTCGGCCTGCACACTGAAGGGTCAAGGATTCAATCCCAGTAGAGAGCACATACCGGGGTTGCAGGTTTCATCCCCGGCCCCAGTCGGGGCATATGTGGGAGGCAATTATGTTTCTCTTTCTCTATCCCCTTCCCCCTTCCTTTCCACTCTCTCTGAAAAGCAACTGAAAAAATATCCTCATGTGAAGATTAAAAACAATTTTTAAAAGTGATTCAGTGGGGTGATCATTTGAGACTGTGTGAATAGCTTCCTCCCCAGCAACCTTCTACCAACTGATTTCAGCATTCAGTGATGATCTCATTCTCACTCCCAAACAGGGAGGACATGTGATTAAGCATTGCCTAACAGTGACACCAAAAAGACTAACTGTACCAAGTGTTGGCAAGGATATGCAGCAATGGGAGTACTCCCACACTGCTGGTGGGGATGAAAAATTGATGTAGCAGCTTTGTCAAGCAGTTTGGCAAAAATCTAACAAAATCCAAAATATTAATACTTTGTTGACATGGGTAAAGCTTGAAAACATTATGTTCAGTGAAAGAAGCTAGTCATAAAAGGACAAACACTGTATAATTACACGTGTATGAAATGTCCAGAATAGGCACATCCACAGAGACGGGAGATGAGTGGCTGGGTGAGTAGGAGAGAAAATGGGAAGCTAATGTGCCTGGGGTTTTTCTTCTGGGGCGATGAAAATGTTCTGGAATTAGTAGTGATGGCCGCCCAACTTTATAAATATACTAACAACCACTGAATTGAATACTTAAAAAATAGAAAATTTATGGAATGTGAGTTATATCTGAATAAAAATTTAAACAATCCCTGGCAGCCCACTGGTATGGCTCAGTGGTTGAGCATCAACCTATGAACCAAAAGGTCATGGTTCAATTATGGTCAGGGCACATGCCCTGGTTGCAGGCTCAATCCCTAGTGTGGGACATGCAGGAGGCAGCTGATCAATGATTCTCTCTCATCATTGATGTTTCTCTCTCGCTCCCTCTCCCATCCTCTCTGAAATCAATAAAAACGTTTTTTAAAAATAGAAAAATTAAAAACCCCAGAATTGTACTTTTGGGTACACACTCTGGAGTAGCAGCTTACCAGCTACACTACAGTCCATGGTCAACTTTGTTTGTAAATAAAGTTTAATTGGCACATGGCCATGCCCATTCATGTATGTATTGCCCAGGCTGCTTTTGCACTACCACGGCAGAGTGAAGTAGTAGGGACAGAAAAGACAGTTATTTATTCTGAGGAGTAAGAATGTGGGTGTGTGTCAAATTCTTTCCTCTAACTTTAATATTTTTCAAAATAAAAATTTTTTGGAACAACAATTTGCCTGGCTTCTGAGCAGGGGAAGTCCACCGCTTTCCATTTGGGGCCGACGGGAAATAGGTAAGGCTGGTTGGCCCATTACCTGTTGGCTGCAGAGGTCCCCCAGAAAGAACTGCACCTGTGGGTTGTCAAAACCCTGCCGCATATCGAACACATTGACAGTGTAGCCTCTTGCCAGCAACTGCTCCACCATGTGCTGCCCCAGGAACCCAGAGCCTCCAATCACCGTGCACTTCTTGGCCTGTGGAGAGAGAGGGAGGGCAGGGGGCACAGATGCGGTGAGAACTGGAACCTACAAAGAGCCTGAACTCACATGTCATGAGCCACTGAGAGGGCAGGTCCATCTCTTTGTTTGAAACCCTTCTTGAACCAAGTTAGAAGCTTTATAGAATTCTGGTATTCTATCCCCGGTGGCAACCTCCTCTCCTGGGATCAGTGAGGAGGGAAGAGCGAGAGCAAATGAGACTGAGAAAGACTTTGGCTGCACTGATGACCCAATATCTGCTGTGTGTTCAGTGAAAGGCAAAGGAAGCAGCTCTGAAAGAACGTAAACGCCTTATGATCAAAACTGAACAATATGGCCCAGGTGGTATGCCTCAGTGGTTGAGCATTGACTCATGAACCAGGTAGTAGCAGTTCGATTCCTGGTCAGGGCACATGCCTGGGTTGCGGGCTCAATCTCCAGTGGGGGTCCTGCAGGTGGCAGCCTATCCATGATTCTCTCTCATCCTTGATGTTTCTATCCTTTTTTCCTTCCCCCTTCCTCTCTGAAATCAATAAAAAAATGTTAAAAAACACACACACATAAAACACTGGACAATATGAAAAAAACCCAAAAGTGACATCTTTTGCTTCTGGTAGCTGATTTCTGGGCACTTATAAGGCAAAACAAACAACAAAAACAAAACATGCTCCCACTCAACATCAGAGTGCACTTAAAACATGAGAAAGAGGAGAGCCCAGGCTTCATACTTGTAAAAGAAAGTCAGGCCCTTTTTCTCCCTGATCCTATCGGGCTGAGCTGGGTGGCACTGGGCTCACTGTCTAACCACTTCTCGCCTTAGTATGTCCAAGACTGTTACAATCCAATGGCATTTGCTGGTGGGGGTTCCGTGAAGATGGGTGATCTGTTAGCCAGGCCTAGGGCTTTGCTTTCCTTTCTCTGAGCTCTGAGGTTAATGAATCCGGGATAGCTCTAGTATTTTTTTTTAAATATATTTTTATTGATTTCAGAGAGGAAGGGAAAGGGAGAGAGATAGAAACATAAATGATGAGAGAGAATCATTGATCGGCTGCCTCCTGCATGCCTTGCACTGGGGATCAAGCCCACAACCCAGGCATGTGCCCCGCCTGGGAATTGAACTGTGACCTCTTGGTTCATAGGTTGATGCTCAACCAGGGAGCCACCACGGTCGGGCAAAAGAGCTCTATTTAATCTTTACATCTCAGCTCCTGCAACATGGACACTTTCTTAGCTAAATTCCAACTCTGGTAAATAATGGAAGGACAGAGTACGACGTGTAAGCACTTAAATATTCTCACTCCATGGAGTCAATGCAAAATTGTGGCTGCTGCATGTTTATTATGCTGGCTACAAGCGTCCCCAAAGGAGGACCTGTGATATCCTTCCTCTCTCTCAGGTCTTTCTAAAACCAAATCTGGGCTTCCTTAAGATGACAAACCCCCATTTTCCCTAAACTAATGTATAATAAATCAAAGTGGGGTCTAGAAAGTAAAAATCTTAAAGAAATTCTGTTCCTGATTAAGTACAAACAAGCAAACTCACCTACTTATTCCTTACATACCTATACAACTGAGATGCAGGAAACTCCAGGGGTGCCAGGGCCCCTTCTATAGACCCACCCCTGCCACCCTGGTGTCCCATTAGGAATGACATTTTTATTGGGGTCCACTGGGCATCTGCAGACGGTTCTGGAGCTTTGGCATCATTTGTCCAGGTCTCACTATGCCACTCCCACCAAATGATCTTTTCAACTCAGTCTTGCCTACACTGTTTTGATTACTCCCACATACATGTAATCATATCATGCTCAATAACTTGCACCTTGACTGAAATTTCTAAGATATTCCCAGGGCGTAGGCAAATTAAACACTAATCCCATTCAGTCCTGTTTTTGGCAATCCTCTCTCGTCCCCTCCTCCCAAGTTCAGTTTTTGTTTTTTTTTTCAAATAACTCTGACCCTCCCCACTTCTCTAATTGATTTCTCTAGGTTTCTGCAAAGTCTGCCTGGGTCTAAAGCGGGGCTGATGTCTTTCATCACACTATAATGCCACGCAGTTAGAGATCAGGTGAAATAACCCCTCTTCATGGCCATGAGAAACGATGCAGGGGAAGTGGGCACAATGGACAAGGAACATGTATTAGAAGGAAGAATAAAACTCCAGACTGGAAACAGGTAACGAAACTCAAGAATGGGTTACTGAGGGGAGTTATAAAATCAACATCTTAGAGAGTATTTTTTTCTGATTCACTGTGATATATATTCTCAAACATTCTTAAAAAACGTAAGCAAATCCAGGTACATATCTTTTAAATTTACAAAAAGAAAGGTTAAATGTAATAAGGCAAACCAAGAAGGGACCCATTTTATATATATATACCATATTTTCTTTACTCATTTGTCTATTGATGGACACTTAGTTTGCTTCCATATCTCAGCTATTATAGATAACTAGGGGCCCGGTGCACGAAATTCGTGCACTGTGTGTGTGTGGGGGGGGGGGGGGGTGGGGGGGGAGTGTCCCTCAGCCCAGCCTGCCCCCTCTCACATACTGGGAGCCCTCAGGCGTTGACCCCCATCACCCTCCAATCGCAGGATCGGCCCCTTGCCCAGGCTTGACGCCTCTGTCAGAGGCGTCAGGCCTGGGCAGAGGACCCTCATTTCCCCCCATCACTGGTTCTGCCCCCAACCCAGGCCTGATGCCTCTGGCCCAGGCGTCAGGCCTGGGCAGGGGACCCCCAGACCCCTCTGATTGCTGGCTCTGCCCCTTGCCCAGGCCTGATGCTTCGGCCAGAGGCGTAGACCCCCATCACCCTCCGATCACCTGATCGGCCCCTTGCCCAGGCCTGATGCCTCCGCCAGAGGTGTCAGGCTTGGACAGGGGACCCCCATCTCCCCCCGATCACTGGCTCTGGCCCCCGCCCAGGCCTGAGGCCTCTGGCCCAGGAATCATGCCTGGGCAGGGGACCCCCATCTCCCTCTGTTCACTTGCTCCACCCCCCGCCCAAGCCTGACGCCTCTGACCCAGGCTTCAGGCCTGGGCAAGGGGACCATCATATCCCCCCAATCCCCGGCTCCGCCCCCCACCCAGGCCTGATGCCTCTGGCCCAGGCATCAGGCCTGGGCAGGGGACCCCCAGCCCCCCGCCCACGCCTGATGCCTCGGCCAGAGGAGTTGACCCTCATCACCCTCCGATCACCAATCACCGGATCAGCCCCTTGACCAGGCCTGAGGCCTCCGGCAGAGGTGTCAGGCCTGGGCAGGGGACCCCCAGCTCCCCGCGGTTGCAGGCTCCGCCCCTGCCCAGGCTTAACGCCTCTGGCCTAGGCGTCCGGCCCGGGCAGTGGGGACCCGCAGTGGCAGTGGCCCCGCGATCGTGGGCTTCGCTTTAGGCCCAGGCAAGGGACCCCTAGCTCCTGGGACTGCCAGCTTCGACCGTGCCCAGCTCCCATCGCTGGCTCCACCCCTACTTCCTGCTATCACTGGCCAGGGCGGAAAAGGCACCTGATTCTCCGATCATGGCTGGGGGGCAGGGCAAAGGCGGCCCTGGGGCCGCCTTTGCCCTGCCCCCCAGCTCTTAGCTCCCCCCTGGGTTTCCGATCACTGTCAGTGGCAGGGGGCTTCTTCCTGCTTTCCCTTTCGCCTCCCTGCATTGTGCCTACATATGCAAATTAACCACCATCTTGTTGGCAGCTAACTGCCAATCTTAGTTGGCAGTTAACTGCCAATCTTAGTTGGCAGTTAACTGCCAATCTTAGTTGGCAGTTAACTGCCAATCTTAGTTGGCAGTTAACTGCCAATCTTAGTTGGCAGTTAACTGCCAATCTTAGTTGGCAGTTAACTGCCAATCTTAGTTGGCAGTTAACTGCCAATCTTAGTTGGCAGTTAACTGCCAATCTTAGTTGGCAGTTAATTTGCATATAGCCCTGATTAGCCAATGAAAAGGGTAGCATCGTACGCCAATTACCATTTTTCTCTTTTATTAGTGTAGATACTGGCTACAGCATAGGGAATACAGTCAACAACATTGCAATACTTGCGCATGGTGCCAGATGGGCACTTATTGGGGTGATCCCCCCACAAGTCATATAAATGTCCAATAACCATGCTGTAGACCCACAACCAACAGAATATTGTATGTCAATTGTAATTGAAAAAAAATATATAAAAGTGCCCAATATTTATCTGTCCATCTATATATCTATATCTATCTACTGCTTCCAACTACTTAAGTATAAATTTCATATTTCAAAAGATATTCCTAACCTAAAGTTATCTAGTTCAGGATCACAAGTGATTTAAGGATTTCCAATTTGTATTTCAAAAACAAAACTCTTGCTCTAGAGAGAGTGTTAATAGGAAAGGAATTCATCTAGACAAGCTATTTTAATTGCAGTATGATCTTGAGATAAGAGAATGTCTAGGCCAGCCGTGGGCAAACTACGGCCCGTGGGCCGGATCTGGCCCGTTTGAAATGAATAAAACTAAAAAAAAAAAAAGACCATACCCTTTTATGTAATGATGTTTACTTTGAATTTATATTAGTTCACACAAACACTCCATCCATGCATTTGTTCCGGCCCTCTGGTCCAGTTTAAGAACCCATTGTGGCCCTCGAGTCAAAAAGTGTGCCCACTCCTGGTCTAGGCCAATGGGTTCCTTCCAACCTTTTGTTTTCCTGTTTTTTAGAGATGTCTCACACAGAACGTATAAATAAGTTCAGATGAAAGTGTTCTTTTGATCTTAGTAGTTTAAATGTATTGGAACAACCTTTGATAGAACCATTGGAATCTAGGCTTTTTTTTTTTTGGTTGCTGAGTATCAGTAAAATCCTAATTTATTCAAATGAGGAAGTCCAGCTGGCACGTGACTCTTCTAGTTCATCTGAACACAGAATCTCAGATGAACCTTAAACTCCAGGGGCGCAGAGGAGGCTTCACTCTGAGCTCGACCCCCCAACCAGGGGGATGCGGTGGCTCAGGGGAATTCTCCTTTATTAACATTTGATATAAACACATTTTAGTTTGGCATGATTACCTTTCTGAAGCATCAGCATTCATTAAAAGTGAATGGAAAAATCTCTGAGAGGCCTTGCTATTGCCCCTGTTGCCCCTGAGGAAGGCCTCTGCCATTCTACCCAGAAGCCTAGTCTAGCCTGCTGGGCCCACATGAAGGCAAACTGAGGCACCCAGCTGACAGCCAGCAGTTCCTGCCAGGCATGTGAGGCCACCTGGAACATACACCTTAGGAAGTTCCTATGACTGCAGCTTTGGGAGTGAGCCCAGGGGAGACCAGCCATGGACTCCCCGCTAGGCCCAGCCCAAACCATAGAATCGTGAACAAAGAAATGGGTGTTGTTTTAAACCACTATGTTCTGACACTGGTACACAGCAGTAGCTGGTACCTTAAATAAAGATATCTATCTTATCTAGAAAAACAATATTCAACATTAATTGATTTAATAAATGTACCAAATGTAATGTTTAACCCACAGCTAATTATCAATGGCTTACTGGTATGTATGTGCTTGACTTTGCCCTTATCTGGTTTGGGCTAACCTATTTTGTGCCAGTACTCACTTTTGGAATGTCTTCTGTCAAATGTGTCCCTGTAACCTGGTCTTTCTTTGGTTCGCCAACTGCTTGTTCCATTTCAGCTCCAAATATGGTCCTGTTTGTGATGAAGCCTTCTTTTCTTTTTTTTTTTTTAAATATGCTTTTATTGATTTCAGAGAGGAAGGGAGAGGGAAAGAGAGAGAGAAACATAAATGATGAGAGAGAATCATCGATTGGCTGCCTCCTGCGTGCCCCCTACTGGGGATTGAGCTCACAACCAGGGCATGTATCCTGACCAGGAATGCAACTGTGACCTTCTGGTTCTTAGGTCAACGTGCAGCCACCGAGCTATGCCTGCCAGGCAGAAATGTCTGTTGTTTTAAGCCCCACAGTATGTGGTCATTTGTTACAGCAGGAAATCCACACAAGTATTCTTCACAGTCCTGCAATTCAAATAGCACAGTTGCCAATTCCATAGCCCACCTTCCCTACTAGGAAAGCAAGAAGTCTTAAAGCTGTCTCCCCTCCATCTCTAGGGGGGATCTTAGAGGGAAAAGAAGAAACTCATCCTGCTCACATGGATCCACACCATTCAAACAAGTCTCATGCGATGCTTAGCAAACCAGCCTCTTGTGAAAACAAGAACAAAATCAAATCTATGTTGTATCAAATTATATACAAATTATTTTAAAGTGTATAAATACTATGAGCCAGGTAAGAACTTTGGTGATACTTTAGTTGTCTCTACGGGCTGGGGTACCCAAGACTATCCTGGGGAATGAGCCAGGTCCCACTGACAACCCATCCCCCTTAATCTCCTAATTGCTAATATGCTCAGGTTAAAATGAACACCAAGAATAGGTCTGATTGAATAGACATTTTTCTGAAAAAGACATTTCATTGCAGATGGCCAACGAGCACATGAAAAGATGGTCAACATCACTAACCATTAAGGAAATGCCAATCAAAACCACAATGAGATACTACCTCACACCCAGTGGGATGGCTATTATAAAAACAAACAAACAAACCCAAAACAGAAAATAACATGCTGATGAGAATGTGAAAAAAATGGAATCCTTGTGCACTATTGGTGGGAATATAAAATGGTGCCGCTGCTATGGTAAACAGTATGGAGGTTCCTCGAAAAGTTAAAAACGGAATTTTCATATTATCCAGGAATTCCACCTCTGTGTATATGCCCAAAAGAATTGAAATCAGGATCTCAAAGAGATGAGCCCTCCTAAGCTTTACTGCAGCATTATTCACAATAGCCAAGATGGAAAATAACCTAAATATCATCGACAGATAAATGAAGAAAATGTGCTATATATATAAAATGACATACTACTCAGCCTTAGAACGAAGGTAATTCTGTAATATGTGATAGCTTGGGTGAACTTTGAGGACATTATGCTAAGTGAATAAGCCAGTCACAGAAAGACAAGTACTGCACAATTTTACTTATCTAAGGTATCTAAAATAGTCAAATGCAACAACAACAAAATAGTCAAATTCATAGAATCAAAGAGTTACCAGGGGCTAGGGGAGGAGGAAATGGGGAGTTGCTAATCAGTGGGCAGAAAGTCTCAGTTAAGCAAGAGCAATAAGTTCTAGCAATTCGCTGAACAGCATTGTACCCATAGCCAACAATATTGTAGTGTACACTTACATATTTGTTAAGAGGATAGATCTCATGTTCAGTATTCTTTCCACAATAACATAAACTTCAAAAAAGGAGACATTCTGACATTCAGAAAGTAGAATGTTGGGTGCCAGGGGCTGGGGGAGGAGGGAATTGGGGAGCGACTGCTTAGTAGATATAATAGAGTTTCAGTTCTACAAGATGAAAAGAATTCTGGGAGATGGAATGTAGTGATGGCTGCACAACAATGTGAATCTACTAAATGCCACTGAACTGTTCACTTGAGAATGGTGAAAATGGTAAATTTTCAGTTCTACTTTACTGCACATTCACTCAGAACAGTTCTGAATGGGAAAATAAGTCCCCAAAGAGCAACGTGTGAGAGGCTGATTGTTAAAATTCACAAATCAGAAGCCTGAAGTCTTTCTCCTTTAACATGGCAGATCTCTGAATACATTAAAAACCAGTATATGTGTGCTCTTCTACACACTGGGACAAAGTGTTAGGCTGCAAAGAATCTAGGAAAAGAGAGCTACCTTCTATTGGTGAAGTCCAAGTGCTTCACTCAACTTCTGGGCAAGAGGAGGAGGGCTGCTGACAGGATCCAATGAAGAGAGGAGTGAGTGAAGCCTATTTTCTCCTTTCTGCTGGGACAAGTTCCACACGGCTGAGTCCTGGAGAGAAAAGGAAGGGATAGTCTGTCCATGTCAAACCAGACAGAGAAAGATGAATATTCCTTGTCCTTTCACAGGCCTGAGGTATCTGTATGTTTCTGTCAGTCATCCATCTCTCTGCTTATCTATTTACTTTTAGGACACAGAAAGGCCCTGGCTTTGAATATACGGTGGCCACTAGAAAAGCCAACAGCATGCCTGTGAGCTTTAGCATATGTGGTCTCCTCTCTGCTCCATGGTGAGTTCCTCCTCATCCTTCAAGGCCTAGCTCAACTGTCACCGCTGTGAAACCCTGTCTCCCTCCCTAAGAAAGGTTAGCAGCTTCCTTAGCACCATTCTATCACTTTGCACACTGGTTTATACCTTTCCTCCTCATCGGTCTTGGCCCACTAGGCTGTGAGCCCCTGGAGGTCCAGCAAAGAGCCTGGAATGGAGTCTGGGTTGATCTGCGCTGCTGTGGCTGGTCTAAGAGACTTCACCTGTAGGGAAGCCAATCTCTCCTGCTGACCCCGGAGCTACGGTGGGGCCCAAACAAGCCCCAGGGATAAAAGGGAGCTGCAGCTTGTAAAAGAGCACCCAGGTGTGTCAGCTCACTTGTTCCTACATTCTCTCCCTCACAAGACACCACATGCTGGCCACTGCTAAGCAGAACCTGCATAAGAAGGAGCCCACCACCTAGTGTGAGAGACAGACCTAGGAGAGTATTGCCGAAGTGCCTTTGAGCTCTGCCGAGGATAACCCCAGAGCAGGAAGCCTAATCCAGAAGGCAATCCCTGAGCTGAGCTCTCAAGGCCGGAAGGAGTGAGTCAAGTGGACCGGGTGGGTGTCCTAAAAGACATTCCATGGCTCAGGGTGAGAATGATGAGGTGATGGCACAGAGCCAGAATGCTGTGGCAATTATGACAAATGTCATGGTGAGTGTGAAGCAAGATTGGGAGCAAAGTCCTGGCTGGGTGACTCAGTTGGTTGGAGCATCATCCTGTACACCAAAAAGGTTGTGGGTTCAATCCCCAGTCGGGGAGCATATGGAAGGCAACTGCACGATCTCTCTCTCTCTGTCCCTCCCTTCCCCTCTCTCTAAAAACAAACAAACAAAAAGCAACAACAAGACAAAGCACATCCTTGACTTAGGATTGTAAAAGATAATAAAAAGATTGGGAGCAAAATGGAGAGCATGCAAGGTTAAGAAGTTACTTGAGGAAATGGGGTAGCCCTTGGAAGTTGTAAGCCGGGGTGAGTGTTAAGATCAAAAAGATCACTCTGGCTGCAGTATGGAGAAGGGATTTTAGCCAAGTCTAAGGCTCCAGGCATGCTAGGTAGGTGGAATGACAAGAGCAAATCAGAGAAAAGAACTAATATTGCCTGAAAACCTGTATCCAGTTAGGGAGACAGTACTGGTCTCATTCAACAGAGGACAAACTGAGGCTCAGAGAGGTCAAGCGACTTGCCTAAAGTCACACAGCTGGTGCACAGTCAAGACAGAACGTGTAGTTGTTTCTTGTCAGTCTGCCACCTACAGACTGACTGGGAAGTAGGGTGTGGAGGGACACGAAATAAGAAAGACTAGCAGGGGCAAAACTGGGCAGGAGGCTCAGATGCTAGGCTGAGTCTGGACTTTACTCTGTACCCAGGGGAACCACTGAAGGTGTAAAAGTATGGGGGTGACCTGACCAGAGCTGTTCACTGGGAAGATTAACCTGATAGAACCGGGTAGACTAAACAGGTAAGAAGCAGGAAACGGGGATTACTCACCAGTTTTTCAATCAAGATTTATTGAGCACCTAGTATGTGTCCCCTCTCACTGTTGCAGGTACTGGTGTGGTGGTAGTGAACAAAGGTTCCTGCCTTCAAAGAGCTAACCTTCTGCTGGATGGGCAATAAAGACAAAATAAATAAGTAAAAGGTACCATAGGTTAGAAGGTGATAAGCACTGTGGGGAAAAAAGTAGAGCAAGATGTGGGGCTTGGGTGTGCTGGGGCTTCAGGGCTAAATAAGGAGCTTAGGGTTGCTCACTGAGACGGTAATAGTGAAGCAAAGTCTGGGGGGTGGGGGGAGAAGTGGACCAAGCAGGCAGAAGTGACTGTTGTAGCAAAAGTTCTAAGGTAGGGGTGTGCCTGTGCTTTTGAGGCCCAATAAGGAAGCCAGTGTCCCAGGGCTGAGGGGGCTGGGGAAAGGAGGGGGTGTGTCATGCCAGGCCTTGCAGACCAAGGTGAGAACTTGGACTTAGACTAGTTGGGAGGCTGATGCTGAAGGCCCACATTGGGAGTGGAGCAGCAGAGGTGGAAAAGAAAAAAAGAAATAAATGGCACTTAAGGGTGGAACTGAGAAGCTGGTTAATTTGAAGGGAACAGAAAAAAAAAGGAATCATATGTAACCTGACCAAAAGGTCTGGACCCAGTTCATGTTCAAAGCGGAAGAGGGCAAAGGACAGGTGTGTAAACATTCTCACTTAAGGAATGCTAATAAACCTCAGGCCTTTCTCAGTCTGAAAAACTTTTGCTCTGGGCCCTGCCTCCCTAAATACTGCCCCAATGTCCAGAGGGGAAGCAGGTAAGGGCTCAAAGCTAAGTGGAGCCCTAGAGCTCTTAACCCAGGGCTGGTTGAGGAGGGTGGACCCCGCACTTGCAGCTCCTCCGCTACAGCTCCCTTTGCATACACCCGCCCCCTTATACACCTCCAAGCATGCCTCACACTTCTGAAATTCCTCTGCGACTTGACTCAGGAGAATGTCTCCCCTGGAATGCTCCTCCCTATCTGCCTTCAAGTGTCTGGGTGGCAAAAAGAGTGTATTGTGATGCCCTCTCCCTCTCATGCTCGCTCATATCTCCTTCATTCCCAAGTCCGTTCCCAGGCTCCCAACCACCTTCCTGGGCTGCTTTAGCCAGGGAAGTGATTCTCACTTGGAACCTGGTCTGGGTGTGTGTGTGTGTGAAGCGGGGGGGCGGGGGGGGGGGATACTCTCAAGAGAACACCTTCAAAGAAAGCCTCAACTGAATTCAGCTTCTAAGCCCCAGTCGTTCGAACCTGTGCGACAATGCTCGGCAGTCCCTTCCCTTCTTTGGGTCTCCTCGTGAATAACCTGCACTCCAACACATAAGGTGTGAGGCCCTCTGACCCCAATTCAGCCTTAGGCAGTGGTTCTCAATCTCCTGGCCCTTTAAATACAGTTCCTCATGTTGTGACCCAACCATAAAATTATTTTCGTTGCTACTTCATAACTGTCATGTTGCTACTGTTATGAATCGTCATGTAAATATCTGATATGCAGGATGGTCTTAGGCGAACCCTGTGAAAGGGTCGTTCGACCGCCAAAGGGGTCGCGACCCACAGGTTGAGAACCGCTGGTTAGGCCAGACTATAAAGCCCGGACCTGGACCGCCGCACCCAGCCTCTTGCCTTCCCGCCCAGTCGCCAACACAAGGCAGCCTCCAAGGGAGAGGTCGTGACCCTTACCCGTCCGTAAACGTCCCCCTTGAAAGTTCCAGCACGGCTGCAGCCGGCACCTACAGAGCTGCGGTCGCTGGCCGCCACCCTTTTCTTGCAGCCCGCAAAGAACAGGCGGAGGCTCCTTTAAGACCGGGACCTGCTCGGCTAGGCCCGGGCTCCCCCAATATACGCACGAGGCGTGGCCCTGCCCAATGAGGTCAGCGATGCGCCAAGAGCGCGCCGCTCCTAGACTTGGACGGGGCCTTTGTCGGTTGGTCCCGCCCATTCAAGCTCTACGCCAATGGTGAGCGGCGGCGGTGGCGAGCGTGTTACCAATGGGGAGCGGGGCTGCGCGCGTGGCACGACGGGAACTACTCCCAGTTAGTGAGCGTACATTGGCTACCTTAACGAGAGCGGGAGCGGGAGTCGGTTGGAAATGGTGAGTGCCGCCCTCTGCCGCGCCCCTTTTCTAGAGGCCCAGCCCTTAACCTGGTCTAGGCCGTCCCTCTGTCTTTTCCGTGCGGTTCTTGGCTTCAGCATGTCCCTCCTTACTCTGTTATCTTTCTCCGAAGGATCCGAAGAAACCCCAGCTTCCTCGCGGGGCCTTTTCGCTGCCTCCTCTTAACCCTCAGCCGGCCCGCAGCCGCCCCCCGGTCATGCGTGGCCCTCTGGCCAAACTGTTCCAGGCCAAAGAAGACTCGGAACCTCCGAAGGTCTGACCCCTCATAGACCCACAGTGTTTGGGGGGAGGTTTATGATATTTATTAACGCTCATTTTGAAATTTAAATGTAGGGCCATTCGGGAGACGCTCTGACCTACTTGGGGAAGGCAGAGAGAGATATGCCCAATGGATTGAGTTTTATTATTTGATATTGACAGAATGTACATCTTAATAATATTTGGCCAAATCTAGAAGTAATCAAAACTGATACTTAGAGGGAAACGGAGTACCGCGAGTGGCCGTTGTAAGGACATTCTAGTGGGCAAACTACGACCCGCGGGCCGGATCCGGCCCGTTTGAAATGAATAAAACTAAAAAAAAAAAAGACCGTACCCTTTTACGTAATAATGTTTACTTTGAATTTATATTAGTTCACACAAACACTCCATCCATGCTTTTGTTCCGGCCCTCCGGTCCAGTTTAAGACCCCATTGTGGCCCTCGAGTCAAAAAGTTTGCCCACCCCTCTAGAATTAGAATTCAGGAAATGTTTATCATCTGTACAGTTATCCACACTCTGGTTCTTAGCTAGCTTTTGGTCCTTGCTTCTAGAAACAATAGTAAACAGAGGGAGGGATAGAGGTGCATGGAAAGATTGTTATTCCCAATAAACCCTATTATCCCTCCAATTAAGCAAAGCTTTGGGATTGGTTGGTATAAAGTATTTTAAAAGCATATATGGTTGTGTTTATTTTATGTAATATATGGACTACGTTACATAATATTGTGCTTATGTGTTTGTAAACCATCTAAAGGCTTCTTCTAGCCATAAGAAGGCAAACGTGGCATCATCTTCCCAGCCAAAAAGAGTGAATCCTAAGCTGGAGCTTAATCCACAGCAGATACAGGAGCTACGCCAAGCTTTTGATCTCTTCGATACTAATTCAACTGGGACCATTGATGTTAGAGAGCTCAAGGCAAGATCTGTACATTCCTGCTCTGCCTCCTTTCCTTTCCTGTGCCTCTTTGTCTTCTTTCCTTGTCACCACTCTACTCCCATTGTCCTCTTCTCCCTGAAAAAAGTAACAAGGGAAGAATACATTGTGCTGTTGTCCTATCTTTACTTCAAGTGTGATTCAATAAAATGAGTGCAGATGCTGGCTTAATGCTCCCAATACTGTCATTTTTGCTCTTGCTATATTTACATGTGTATATTGAGATATTCCTGTTTTCATTGTAGGTGGTGTTGAGAGCAATGGGCTTTGAACCAAAGAAAGAAGAGATTATGAAGATGATAAATCAAGTGGATCCAGAAGGTACAGGAAAAATGAATTTCAATGACTTCTTGACTTTGATGACTCAAAAAATGGTAAGTTAGCTCTTCAAGACCACAAAGTCACAGGAAAAGTCATGTTACCCTCTGTAGTGAAGGTACTACTGCTATCACTTTTTTTGCTATTGTCTTTCTTTAACTGGTATATCAATATGATAACCACAAGCAATAAAGCCTATAAACACCAACAATATTACAGTATCTCACATTTTGACAAGGTGCAGTCCCTATATTTCCCCTAATTTTAACTGCACCCCTCCTACTGTTTTTTAAAAACAAGTCCAGTTTCTCTTTGGTTTGTATAGAAAGAATGCGGTAAGTGCAGTGCCTTATTAAGTTCCTTTTTAGCTTCTAGGGTTTGTAATGTCATTGAGTTTGTCCTCTTTTTCTACCCTGAATGATGTTTGATCTCCTAGGACCTATGTCACAAAGGCTGTCACCAAGACCAAGCAATGATGTAGGGGAGGGCAGAGGGGTTATACAGTAATGAATAACTGCAGTGTTTCATTACTCATGTATTTTATGTTCTACTTGTTAAGTGCGAGAAAGATTCCAAAGAAGACATCCTGAAAGCTTTCAAGCTCTTTGATGATGATGAAACTGGGACCATATCGTTTGAGAATCTCAAACGCGTATCCAAGGAGTTGGGCGAGGACATAACTGATGAAGAGCTTCAGGTTTGTAATGCACCCGCCTGGAACCCAGAATTCCTGGTTAGAGCTCTGGGTGACTCTTCTGAGTTACATTTTGTCTGATGTGAGCACCACTTTGAAGGAAAACTAGTGTTTTTTCTTGTCCCTCTGTTGACCACTTAATTTCCCTTTTGTAGTGTGACAAACCTATGCACCCTGCTCTCAGAAAAATACACACATGGACAGTTTTACTTTCAGTGTTAGGCTTTAGGAATCCACTCAAGCTCCCTTCTAGGTGATATATATGACAAAGTATGACTTAGATTTCAGATAACTTTTCAGGAACCTTGGACAGTTGTCTATTCATGTAGTATTAGAAAAGCCTGTTGCTTGGTCACATTTTAGCTTCATTATGAATTAATCTAACCTGAATCCTTACTGTCATGCAGGAAATGATTGAAAAAGCTGATCGAGATGGAGATGGGAAAGTCGATGAGGAAGATTTCCTGCGTATGATGAAAAGGACCAGCCTTCATTAAGAGTATTCTCTCCTGTTGCAAGCACACACAACTAGTTTTACTGCCTGTTATTGTGTGAAACCTGGTTTTTGAGAACACAAGTGTTTTTTTCCCACTAACCTCCCTATATACCTTTAGTAACAACCTCACATCCATTTTCAACTTTTGTGTTTTTGACAATATTGTTCTTTGTGAGGTGAACTGCTGCTTTCTTTAATTCGCCAAAACAGAACAAGAGCACATTAGTGCATTTACCCACTTGCCATTCTACCTTGCATTGCTTCACTCTTGTCATGCAGTCCCACATTTATGCCACCATAGAAAGACTTCTCAGGGAAACATGTGTTGTAACTTTGTCACCACAAACAGCAGGCATCTCTACAATGGTTCTGGTTTTAATTGACACCTAAGTGCAGCTTTCTCTTTTAAAAAATACAGTGAACTCTCACTTGCATTTGGATGTCTTTTTCCTGTTTGTTTTGTGTTAAAATAAAGCATTTATTTGAGCTTTTGTTCTCTAAGAGTGAGTTCTTTGGCCTTGACGGAGTTAATCTTCTAAACCAGCGGTTCTCAACCTGTGGGTCTCGACCCCTTTGGGAGTCGAACAACCCTTTCACAGGGGTTGCCTAAGACCATCGGAAAACACATATATAATTACATATTTTTTTTGTGATTAATCACTATGCTTTAATTATGTTCAATTTGTAACAATGAAAATACATCCTGCATATCAGATATTTACATTACAATTCATAACAGTAGCAAAATTATAGTTATGAAGTAGCAACGAAAATAATTTTATGGTGGGTGGTCACCACAATATGAGGAACTGTATTACAGGGTCGCGGCATTGGGAAGGTTGAGAACCACTGTTCTAAACCATTGTGTTGAAGGCAGTCTGGTAGATCCCAAACTCCTTACCAGCCTGTGCGCAGAAAATGAAATAATCCTTTGCTATTGGCATGAGTTGTTTCTTTGCCTTGGAAACCTGTCAGTGGTCAAAACTAGAAGAATCCACTTCATGTAACCCTAAATGATGCCCTAAAAATGGTTTTGATAAAGTGTAAGGCAAAAAAAGAGTTCTTGGCAATTCATGTTTGGACAAATCAGGGAAATCCAGGTTCTTATGACAGTAGGTTTAATTCAGCCAACTTCTGGTCAGTTTATTTGCTGGATGGTTTCTTAGAATATTGGCATCAGGTTGCACTGGGTGACTTTGTTCAGTTCCCTTTTGGTCTCACAAGGGATGACCTGTAAGAGAATTCCTGGCAAATGGCATTAAGCCTCTGCTCTAGGCTGAGGGTGGGAGGATGAAGGGCTGGAATGGAAAATGAGTAAGGATGTAATGTTCCTTTACCCACACAGGGTGGGGAGAGAATGAATTTCAGACTGCTGAGGGCATCCTAGTTCCAAGATAGGGTTGCCTGATTTAGCTAATTAAAAAAAAGAAACATCTAGGTCAATTTGAATTTCAAATCAAGAAATTGTTTTTAGTACAGGTTTGTCCCATTCAGACTTTGTTGTTGTTTCTTTATTCATTGTTGATCTGAAATTCCATTTTACCTGGGTGCCCTATATTTCACCTAGCAACCCTAGGTGGGGAGCATGTTAAGAAGCATGGCTGTGGGTTTCAGTCCCTGGACACTGGCATCCTGGTGGACTTGACCCCCAACCCCCTGAGTCTCCTGTGCCAAGCAGCCATTGTAAGATAGGTTGTCAGTTACTCAAAGGAGGGAATAGGGACAGAATAAATGGATGAGGGACTAGAGCAGAGAGTTGCAGGGGATTCAGGAAGATGGAGACAGGGAGCTGGGGCCAGTTCATGTGGAGGCATAAAATAAAGCTGCAAGGGGATGGGAGGATGTGGATGGAGAGAGGGCTGGGGTCAGTTTGTGTGGGACAGGACCAAATGGATGGAGAGAGTGAGAAGGATGGGGAGGAAATGGTTGGAGAGGTCAGTGCAGGTGCAGATGATGCAGAAAGTTGTTGTGCAGTGGTTCCCAATGTGGGGGTACACGCCCCACAGGGGGGCAATTTAAGAATGAGTTATTAACTGAATTTTTTGCAT